GCCACTGAAAGGCTCAGGAAAACAAGCCCATGAAAACTTAGGTCCTAATACAGTGGTCCCCAACACGGTGCCTGCGGGGGCATTTGTGTGTACCCGCCAAGTGCTCGGGGCTGGCCTGGCCCTGGGCCCGTGGCGCATGCATGGTGCCGGAGCCAGCCCCGGGCGCATGGTGCACGGTGAGCGCTGGTCCCGGGAGCGCTGCAGATTGGCCGCCCGCGCTGTAGGCGCGCGACGCTTGGGGGGGCGGGGGAGCGGGAGCGCCGGCCCCGGGCACGCGGCTATGGGGGGGCCCTGCCCCCGGGCGTGCACGTGTCCCCGCCCGCTGGCACCCAGCAGGCGAACGGCCACGGCCCCTGGCACCCAGCAACCTCCAGTGGTTGGGGACCACTGTCCTACTACATGTTTTCTGAAACAGACTAACACAGCTGCCTCTCTGGGGAGGAAGGAAAAAGGTATCAATGTTAAGGCTAAAAAGGACCATTCTGATCACTTCGTCTGACTTCCCCCGTGACCCAGGCAGAGATTCCGCCTTCTCTCTGAACCAGGCATCTGGGAGTAGGAGACTATTTTTTAGAAAGACATCAGGCCTTGATGTTAAGACCGCAAGGATACATCTAGACTGCAGAGTTTTTCCAGGATACTAGAAGTATCCTGGAAAAGCTCTGCCGTGTCCAAGGAATGTGTCTGCTTTTCTGAAAAAAAAAATTCGGAAAAGCGGACGTGTTTTTTCGGCAACCCTGTAAATTTCATTCTATGAGGAAGATGGGATGTTCTGAAAGAAGCTTTTTTCCCCCTGACATTTGGGCCATTTATACTGAGCCAAATATCAGAAAAGCCTCTTTCAGAAGAAAAGTCAGAAAAAGATACGCAAATTGCAAACATCCATTTGCGTATCTTTTTCTGACTTTTCTTTGTAGTCTACAGAATTCACACCTTTTGATTATCTATTACAATGGGAAACTACCCGCCCTGTTAAAGCGGCGAGGAGTCCTGTGGCACCTTATAGACTAACTGAAGTGTTGGAGCATAAGCTTTCGTGGGCAAAGAACCACTTTGTCAAATGCATCTGACGAAGTGGTTCTTTGCCCACGAAAGCTTATGCTCCAACACTTCAGTTAGTCTATAAGGTGCCACAGGACTCCTCGCCGCTTTTGCAGATTCAGACTAACATGTCTACCCCTCTGATACCCTCCTTGTTAAACATTTGCTTTTTTTTCCCCATTTTGAACCTTGCTGACTTCAGCACATGATATTGCCTCTGCTTATATATTTGTCTGGGGAAAAAGGTCAGGGTCTGGGATATTTCCTAGATATTATTACTATTATCCTCTAATGAAAGGAGAACAAGGCCGTGTCTGTGGTGGAGAGCTTACAGTAGCCCAGCTGTGCTGCGGTAAGATCTTTCAGGTTGCTCTATTGCTGTAAGGAAAGAGCTTTTCCCCTATGTCGTTAAACCTTCCCGTCACGAGCAGCAGTTGCTATGCCAGTGACAGACACTCTCCTGCCGACATAGCACTGTCTGCAATGGTGTGTCTGTCAGCACAGCCTATGGCACGCGTGTGTTTAAGCATCCCCGAGTGACGCAAGTTATACCCACAAAGGGGCTAATGTAGATGTAGCCAAAAAGCGTGCGGCTTCGCGAGTCTAGCTCAGCCAAGGGGACTTGACTGCTCTCTCAAAACACCAAGGGAGGGCGAAGAGCCAGGGAAGTGAAAGGACAACATCGGCACAAGAACAAATGGGTAGGAACTGGCCATGGGTAAATGGAGGTTGGATATTGGAGGAAGTTTGAGCAGAGGAGTGCGGGCTGGGAGCAGCCTTCCAATAGGAGCAGTGGGACACGCAGCCTACTTGGTGTTAAGATGGAGTCTGACCACATAACGAACAGGGTGACCCAACAGCGCACCTGCGACATTCCCCACTCCCACTAACAGCAAGCTAAGGGGTGTCTCTGTACTTAGGCAGCCAAGCGTGGAGAAGGGGACCTTGATCCGTCTTATCACTTGCAACCACTTAAATCCTACTTTTTATACTGAATACGATCAATCACTTGTGTTTGTTCTTAAGTCCAGTGTAAATACCTGTTACCTGGGTGGGAGAGGACAACAGCTGTGCACCTCTCTCTTTCATTGACAAAGGGGGTGCACTTAGGAGCTTGCTCTGTGTAAAGCTTTTATGCAGAGTAAGACGGATTTATCTGGGGTTCTGGTCCCACTGGGGCTGTGTCAAGTCCCTGTGACTAAGCCGGTTCAGTGTCTGTGCTGCTCTGCTGTGGGCTGTGACCCTGACTCTGTGCCTTTGCAGGGGGAGGCCAGAGCAGAACAGGGTGGTGGGGAACCCCAAGAGGCAGGTAGGTGGGCTCAGAGGCTCGATCAGGGGGATTTCGGTGACTCAACCCATTGCATATACATCCAGACGCAAGCTCTCTTCCCTACAGCATTACACAGAGCGTCTATTCAGATGGTTTTGCATTCAACAATCACAAATGCAGTCCCTGGAGCCGAGTGAACGGAGAGACGCCAGTGCAGCCGCCAGAGCGCAGGCAGTAGATGTTCTCTCTGCATGACACTGAAATACTTGGCACTAGCTGAAACCCCATGGAGCCACTGCAGGTGGGCGAGAGACCAGAGAGGCTCAGATTCTGGGGCGGGTCCCAATTTGTGTGCTCTCTTGTCAGAGGGTGAACAGAAGTGCTGAGGAAGCAAAGGAAGCAGCCCTGTGGTACTCTCTACTGTGGGGTTAGAGGAATTCATATTATGCTCTCCCCAGGGGGACGGTAAATCTGCTTGGTCCTTGTGCTCAGACCATTGATCTGCTCTTCCTCATGGCTACACTGGTGCAAATCAGCAATCACGTAACATCAACAGAGTTACACTGATGCAAGAAGAATCAAGCCCTGTGACTGAGAAAGCAGCCTGCATCACGAGGGATGCACTCCACGCATGGACCCACTAGATGGTGCTAGCTGGATGGCAATGAAAGACGGATGAAGACCTGTGAATAGCAGGTAAGCAGCCAATTCACTCTAGTGTAAATCTACTGCCCTAAATGGAGTTGCCCCAGGGATTAATTGACTGCTTACCTGCTATTAGCTTTATCCCTGGTTCGCTGCTGTTTTCTCTCTGCCATCTAAGCTGCACCATCCAGTGATCATTGGTCATTGTATTGAGTCCTAAGGGGCTATAATTGGAACCCTTCCCCTAACATCCGGATTCTCTCTCTAACATTGGCAAAGGGGGCCAGTGAGGAATAGCACTGCAGAAGTGCTCAGCAGAACCATGAAAAACAAGCCAGGAGGCACGGTCTAATATATAGAGGCCTCCCGAGCAGCTGAGAGACATTCATGGCCCGGGTTAGTCAGGGACCAAGAGACCAAAACAAACCCAGACCATCCCTGCCCCCTGCGAGCTCACAAATTAGGAGTTAGTTGTAACACATATACTAGAATGCAATAGCAGAGACAGAGGTATATGCACAAGTCAGTCATAACAGTGGTCATAGTCAATGTTCCCGCTATTTTTTTCCATCCCTGTGCGGAATAAATTATGTTGTGTGCACTGACATGTGTAGATGTGCACCACTAACAGAAACACATACTACCAGCTGTGAGTGCTATGCCAATCAGCTAGAAAGCACCTAGATCTCTTCTGGGTGGTTGTCCAAGTGCTCAGTTTACAGGGAAACACTGGTCTCAGCAGCCACTAGCCTAATCCATTTCAATTTTGCATTTCATAACCTCCATATACTTCCAAAGCTACCAAAGGAGTCATACCACTCCAAGCGGAATAAAAGCCACATCAGGAAGAAAACAATTCAGTCCCCAAAGATCTGAAATCTCTCTCTCTCTCGCTTGCTCTCATTTACACATGTGCTCCAACTCCTAATGAAAGCAAGGGAAAAATTCCCTTTAAAATTGGACTAAGCTCTAAATGATCAAATTAAGCTAGGCAAAGTTGGGGCTCCCTGCCCTCCTGAGGCTTATTAAATACACATGCCCAAACAAGGTGCATCAGCTAGCTCATCAGGAGATCCAACAGTACCAGCGACTGCATCCCAAAATGCAAGGCCCACCACTTAAACTTACCGCATAACATAGCATCATAGGACTAGAACGGATCTCAAGATGTCATCTAGTCCAGTCCCCTGCACTCGCAGCAGGACTAAGCAGTATCGAGACATACTTTGCATCAACAGCATTCTTTAAATGCTTCTGTTACATACTCGTCGCTAGAGATGATCAAATGTGGAAAATACAGTGCGTGACCCAGGCAGCCAAGAACAGAGATACCAGCATTAGGACATTTTTTTTGGTCTTTAATTAGCTGCTGCTCGTAAATCTCCTGCAGCACCTATATATGAAACTTGCACAGCTGCTCTTGCCAGCTACCCAAACACCTCGCATCGGTCAACAATTTACCCCTTGGAGGTAGAGAAGCATTATTCTTATACCAGGAGAAACTGAGGCACAGGGAGGCTGCAGCAGAAGTGAGACTTGAAGCCAGGTTTCTCGAGCTGTGAACAGCACCCTCACCCCCGGATCAGCTGCTTAAACACTGATCTACTTAGATGAGATGCTTTTATACCCACGACCCTGTGTCACCGTATTGCCTACGTAGGAAAGGAAGGCACGTCAGGCCAGCTACCAGAAACGCAGGGGACCCTCAGGCTGTAGCTGGAGAGGGAGAAGTAGAGACAAGACCCCTACAGGGTTTGGTTCGGGATAAGCTGAGCCTGGCGTTTGGTTCACAGTGGCTGGACACAAAGAGGCTCCTGTGGGTCCAAAGTTGTGAACACGCTTCCAAGGGGATACCCCTCCTCCCCGTGTCTCCAGAGAGGTTCTCTCCATCTCTATGAGATCACCCAGGCCCCTGTTGCACAGGGCAGCAGTCTAGAACTTTGTCCATACTGATTTTAAAGTGTAGAGAATTGGGGCTTTGGCTGCTGCTTTTGGGAAATTAATCCCCCAGCCTCACGTATCGAACACACGGGCCATCACTTACCACTGTTGCCTTCAGGGATGTGGACGAGACAGGGTGCTTGGCTGGCAGGACAGGGAGGCTGTCGCCCCCATGCATGCAGAACACGGCATCCTTTCAGCTCAGGGAGGCTGAGGGGCTGGTCTGATTATTCCCTCCTGCTCCGGGTGAGCGCTGGCAGGGTGAGGGCACAGCCCGAGGAGATGGTTACACAGGCAGCAAAGGGCTGGAAATAAAAGAAGCAGAACTGGAAAGTCAAGCGCCTGACGTCTCGGGTGCCAGTCTGCATGACAGCGATAGGATCAGCAAATCTGGCCCGTCAGTGGAGTCCAGCAACCACATCCTGGAGACAGAGAGGAGGCTGTAGAATAGCACAGAAGGCTGGAGTGAAGAGCACGGCAGCAATGCAAGGCATGGGGGATACAAATTCCTAGGTACACCCCAGACAGAGCGAGCCCATCCCACGCTGCACTGTTGGGCGTCTGAGCTCGTGGGGCCAGTGACAGACAGAGGGGGAAGAAGACTGGGGCTGGCTCAGTACATTAGTTTAAAATTAAAAAGGGATCCAAATCTGAAACGAACAGAGCGCAGTTGGAAGGTTAACGAGGTCCCACTCTTCTATTGCAGTCGTAGTGACACACCTGCCTTTGGAAGGGACTTGGCTCTAGCAGGACCACAGTTATTGTAGTCCAATGTGCAAGCCACCCTAAAGAGGGATAAGGTGCGAGCCTAGTGTTCAGATCAGTGGCTCCCACACACCATAGACTGTCCAAGAACTAGGAGTCACCAAATTAAATTAATAGGTAGCAGGTTAAAAACAAACAAAATGAAGTTTTTCTTCACGCAGCTCAGAGTCACCTTACGGAACTCCTTGCCAGAGGATATTGTGAAGACCAGGACTTGAATAGGATTCAAAAAAGAACTAGATACATTCATGGAGGATAGGTCCAGCAATGGCTATTAGCCAGGATGGGAATGGTGTCCCTAGTTTCTGTTCGTCAGTGGCTGGAAATGGGTGACAGGAGAGGGATCACTTGATGATTACCTGTTTCTGTTCATTCCCTTTGGGAGCACCTGGCATTGGCCACTGTCAGAAAACAGGATACTGGGCTAGTTGGACATTTGGTCTGACCCAGTGTGGCTGTTTTTATGTACTTGCTCTCCTGGTAGCCTTTGGACCACTGGCTGATGGCTAGTGTTTGTCCACAGTGTTCCCTGTAAGCTGGGTGCTTGTGCAGTCACTCAGGAGAGGTTCAAATGCTGTCCCGCTGATCAGAGCACCCACAGCTAGGTTTTTGTTTCTACTGGTGGTGCACATGCACATGTCTCAGTGTACATAAAATTTATCCCACACTTGAATGGAAGAGATTAGAGAGAACATTAATTGTCTGGTAGATGCCATGGTTCAGTGATTATAACCTATTTAGGAAGGCACAAGTGGGCTAAGGAGAAAGGGAGGAGCATTCTGTGTCAAACAAGCATTACCTGTTTCCAAGTCATGGATAATTCAGAAGAAAATGATCTTGAATGCTTATGGATCCACGTCCTAACAAATAAAGCACAAACACGAGTCTTAGTTAACTATTTCTTAACTCAAAAAGTGTTGCCGCTAACATGGGGGAATTCTAAATTATACCTTGTCCTAACAGACAGAGGAACTGATCGCAGAACTGAAACTGATCGCAGAACTGAAAGAACTCTCCTAACCAGGAGAGCAAGTACATAATGGTAGCTTAGATATCAATGCTCATGACTTGATCACATTTACGATGTGCAAGCAGAATAAATCCCATACTTGGCATTTTAAAAGATGAAAACAACTATGAGCCAAATCAGCCTGAGGAAGAAGCTAATCTGAAAAAATCTGAGTGATTCTTGGGAATATTTTTTTACTGGGAAAAACAAACACACAACACATTCCCATGATTGAGGAAGAAGGCTAGTTTAAAAAACAAAACAACAACAACAAACTGGTTTAGAGGGGAAGTGAAGGCAGCTATAAAAATTTATATTTATATATAAAATATTCAACGAATTGAAGACCATGAAGTTGATGATAATCCACTTTCATGGCCTTAGAGCCTGATGACATCATTCTGTTGTACAACAGGAAAAACGATGGATACATAGACAGACAGACAAGTTAGGAATTGTAGAAAATTGATAAAGGAAGTCAAAGAACACATGGGGAAACCTAGGGCTACAAGGTAAGAACAATAAGGAGTTTTAAAAATACATTAGAAACAAACAAAAACATCCTGACAACAGACTTTTAAAAGAGCAGGCTGAGGACCTCACTGGATTGTGAATGCTGAGTTTCGCTAGGTCTTAGAGCACCGAGGAAGTTCCAGAACCCTGGAAGACAGCTCATGTTAGGCCCATTTCTAAGAAAAATTTTAATGGAAGGACCCGAACAATTACAGGCCTGTCAGCCTGGCATCAGTCCCAGGAAAATCATGGAGCAGCTGATATGGGACTTGATTGATAATAGGGATGTAAAAAGGTTTAACACAGTAATTGTGTAACCATTACAAATGCTAGCAGTTGCACCGTTAACGGTTTTGGGGGATGTACAGCCAGGTGGTACTCAAGAGGGGTGCCCCCATGGCTCCCAGGGAGCCAGCTAGCCTGTGCTGTGGGCTCGGCAGTGCAGCCAGCAAGCTCCTGGCATGTGCCGGCTCCCAGCCCCACTCCTGGAGAGCAGGGCTGTCAGCCAGGGACCAGTGCACACCGGGAGCTGATTTACACTACAGAGCCTCCAGAGCCCCAGAACTGCAGTGCCCTAGAACTGGGGATGGCAGAGTCCACAACGCAGGGAGGCAGCTGGCTCCCTGGGAGCAGGGCCAGCATCCAGGGGCTGGCACTGATGTTTGCATCATCTGCAAACTTGATCAGAAAAGAGGAAAATAACGAAGAGGACAAGTCACTGATGCAGAGCAATTCGGGTCACTTGGCAAACTGGGTGCAAACAAGACAAGAGATCTGTTTTAATATAGCGAGGAACAAACAACGCAGCCACACTGCCAGGATGGGGAACTCTATCCTGGGACGCAGTGACTGTGAAAGAGATTTAGGCAGGAACCCCGAGCTGAGCATGAGCATACAGTACAGCATTGTGGCCAGAAGGACAGATGTGATGCTTGGATACATAAATGGGAGAAGAGAGGAGATTTTATCTCTGTAAAGTGGTGGTGGTCAGTGGTGATCAAACTTTCCATTACTAATGAGAGGGTCTACAAGAGGTAATGTGTCTGTACCCTCCCCTGGGCTGGGCGTGGAGTGGCAGCGGGGACCAGGAGCAAAGGCCTGGCCTGGAAGCCGAGCTATGTTCAGAGCAGGGCTGAGTGGCGCTCTCCTTGGCAGCTGGCTTGAGCTCCTTTGGGCATTCCTCTGTGCTCCTCTAGGGGGCACATCCCACAGTTTGGAGACCACAGAGGTAGCTCCTAGCATGGCTCTCATTGTTCTAGTAACCGAGCATCTTACAGTCATCACTGAATGTGTCAGAGCAACATCCCTGCCAGGTGGGGAAATAGGAACCTTCTCAAGCTATGTTTGGGGAACCGAGGCCCCACGAGTCTGATTTTTCTGTTGCCCTGCCTTGCAGAACCTACCTTGGGGGTGTGACCAGATCAGAACAGGTTCATTTCACGTTCCCTTTGCAGGAGCGTACATGGCTCCACATGGACAAAGGGCAATCAAGACCAAGGAGGAGAACGAAGCCGGTAGAGAAAGAGCTGGGAACTGAAGTCCGATCTCCTGCCTCCCAGCACAGAGCTGTAAGCACAGGCCCCTCCTGCATGGCCTGCCAGCTGCAGACCACTGGAGACAACTGCAGCAGCACTGGCGCAGCACTGCAGAGAAGACAATGTGCACGCAGGACTGATTGCAGCCGTTGTTGCAAGAGAACCTGGTCCCACATCCCTTTACAAAGAGAATATTATTCATGCTTCTGGAAAACCCAGCACCAATGAGATCAATAATTGCTTAACAGCAAAGCAGCGGCCAAGTGCCAGCCACACTGTCCTTAATGGAGTCTCTGCAGGCACTGGTGCACATCCAGCCTTTTTTGTGTATTGATATTTCACTGAACAAATAAACCTTGCTCGTGATTCAGCACTTTGCGAATGGGACTCTAGTTTGGAGAGCAAACCACAGGAGCGGATGCACCGGCCAAGGAGTTCAAGGGGAGTTTAAACAGAGACGACAACCATTGTATGAACCACAGATATTTGCAAGGCCTAGGTTGCATAAGCCAAAAAATATTCCAAGTCCCCCTTTCTGAGCAGCAAAGGGGGAACCCTCCCCCCCCCCCCCCCCACCCCCCCCCTCCCCCCTCCCCCCCCCGTTTACCACAGGAGCGGATGCACCGGCCAAGGAGTTCAAGGGGAGTTTAAACAGAGACGACAACCATTGTATGAACCACAGATATTTGCAAGGCCTAGGTTGCATAAGCCAAAAAATATTCCAAGTCCCCCTTTCTGAGCAGCAAAGGGGGAACCCTCCCCCCCCCCCCCCCCACCCCCCCCCTCCCCCCTCCCCCCCCCGTTTGGCGGGATACGAATAAGCGAGACGTCACATTGACAACCCCAAAGCTTCAATAAGTTACATGGGGCAGGTGAACTTTCCATACCCACCTGGGAGTGTTCGTTCACAGAGGGGCAAGGGGGAGGCGCATTATGTTACACTTACAAACGGGGCTCAAATGGAAAGAATATCTGGAGATTCTAGGAAGGAAGCTGCTAGCGATAGAGCTATGGCTCTTGTTACTGCATTTCAGCCCCTAGGTAGTGCCACTGCTTTTGGTCAAGTTACGCCAGCCTTGGACTGGAGTAACACCGACAAGCACAGCAAGAGGAAGGATAGCCCAGTGGTTAAGGCATTTACCAAGAAGGTTCAATTCCAAGCTCTGACACAGATTGTGTGGCCTTGGGCAAGTTACTTAATCTCTCTGGGTCTCAGTTCCCCAGCTATGCAATAGGACAGCAGCTTGGCCCTGCTTCTCAGGGGTGTGGTGGGGATGAGGTGCTCAGACACTAGCAGAGTGAGGGCCAGGTAAGTACCAACGTAGCTAGTCAGTCACATCCAAAAGACCAGGTGGGTTAGTAGCTACTCACCCATAGGGGCACCCTATGCAGATGACTGGTGACACCTCCCCCAACGTAGGTTTCAACACTTAGCAGGGCTCATGGAGGAGCCCCTGGTGAGCCAGCATGGCAGGATTAGGCTGAGACGGGCAAGAGGTTGCTTCGCTAGCCAGCGAAATGCAGGCCCCGCTTGGGTGGAAAGCAGCAGCAATATTCCTCATAGCTCTGCAGTTGCATCGAGCAAAGAGAAGCCTCAAGGAAAAAGGTCTGTCTGTGGTGTTTGCAGCTTAGTGTGATCCTCTCCTGCCCAGGCCACCTCCCCAATCTGAGTGCACTGCCCTCTCAGCTGTATCTATTTAAAGGTGGCTCCTGTTCCCCGGCTGCTAGGCAATGGGTTGCTTGACAGGCATAGGGAAAGCACCAGCCCTGTACATAAAAGCACTTGAAAGGGCTCGTAGCTCCCCCACCCTCTAATGAGTTGTTAGGAAGCCAGAAACTCCAGCCCTTTCGACTGCTTCTATTGAAAGGGCTCACTTGCTGGGGGGCTGCATTGTCTGGCAGTCACCTGCAGGCGCAAGCCCTTTAAACAGAAGTAACTGAAAGGGCTCGCAGCTTTGCCCCACTGGGTGAGCCCTTTCAACTACTTCTCTTCAAAGGGCTTGTGCCTGCCGGGCAGCTGCCAGCAACAGGTTAGAAGTAGGGAGCATGGCTTTGTTCTCCTCTCCTTCCACATACGTGGTGGACAATGCTCCAAGTGACCTCCAAATGGAGCTTATTGACTTGCAGAATGATGCCTTGCTTGCAGAGCAATTCAAATCAACGCCGCTTCTGGAATTTTATGCATCTCTCAACGAGCAAAGCTTTCCGAAGATCAAGGCTCATGCCCAAAAGATAATTGTATCGTTCAGAGCAACTTACATCTGAGCAGACGTTTTCTGTCATGAAATTCAATAAAACAAAGAACAGCTTTTCTATCGTGGATGGCCACCTTGCAGTAGTGCTCCGCATTGCAACATTAGAAATGACACCTGACTTCACGTCCCTTGCTAATGCCCAACATAGACTTTCTTCTTCACATTGAGTTGCATTTTCTTTTTTTTTACACTTAAATTTAATGCACATAAGTTGCATTAAACTCAGGTGGGCAGTAAGTTGGATTAACCTGTGCCTCTGCAGATATGGCCATTTAAAGCACCTGTTGGCTGTGCATCACCATTCCCAGCCCAGGTGAGCTGTAGGAGGTGGTGTCCCAATTCACGCAGTGCCCATTGGCTGGAGATGGTGCTCCACCATGAATGGGAGGTCCAAGCGGCTGTACCAGTGGAGGTGCATGTAAATAAAGCATTGGCAGCCCGCTGGGGCTAACCCTGGTGAACCGTGTCCGCTTTGTGGGTTGGATATTGCCCACCACTGATGGAACTAGAAGTTTAGTGTTAGTGCTGTTGCTATTACAAATGCTACA